CTTCTACAAGGGTAGCCAGTGCTCTTAGCCAATGAGCCACTTCTCTAGTCCTGAGATGAAAAATTTTTGTGAACAGAAAAGATTTGAATAAAATATTTGATAGGGTTTGGTTTTCAAAGAGAAAACATTCCAGATGAATGATTAATGTGGAGTGAATTGAGCACAGTAACCATATCAGAAAGTAGAGAAATGCAGTTATATTTAAAATATATCCTTTAAAGGGGCAAACAGGAGGTAGATCTTGTATAAGGAAGAGTCTAAAAGTAGAATACAAGACTGAATCTGATGGGATACAAAGGCCACAAAGTAGATAAATACTGTTACACTTAAGCACCTGAACTGTCTCAGCAAAACTGAAAAGAACAATGCTAGACAGAGTACTGCTTGACTGGCACTAGACATATGAAATGAATGAGTCAATGTTTCTCAATGAAAAGCTAATCAGTTTTAGCAACAGATGAGTTTCAGGTGTTAATCTGCAAAGACACTGAACTTGGTAATGAATGACTAACAAGACCACTAAAGTTCAGAAAAATTTAAGACCATCTGAGTATTCCTAGAAATATCTGAAGGATCCCATACTTCAGCTATTTCCTTAAATAGTCAACAGTCAAAAAGAAGTGTCACCTTGTCTTTGAAAAGGTAAAAATAGAAATAGTAAGCACAAAATATTTAATCAGTAAAAGGGCATAATCACCAAGAATAAAATGGGCAAATTATACCAAACCAGAAGTCAAGAACTGTGGTCCATCTCCCCAGGGCTATGTGATGTCAAATACAGTAAGAACAGACATTTATTTCTCCATGGTCTCTTTATTACTCTTGTATCTGTATTTTCCCCTAATAGTTCAATTTACTCATGAGATACAAACTGATGTTCTTACGTTATGTTGCATTTTCTTCTCACTTGCCAATTTGGCCTACACTTCCAACATATTTTTGGTTCACAGTCATTATTACTTCAATCTCTTTTTTCTTCTTCACTATCCTAATTATATACTACTTTCAGATAGTACCTCTTCTATAGAAACTTCTTTATACCGCACTTAATGTATTTTTTTAGTTTTATTTATTCAATGTATATAGGTAGTTTGCCTGCATGTATGTCTGTGTACAAAGTGGATGAAATGCCGTGTAAGCCATAAAGGTCATTAGATTCCCCTGGAACTGGAGTTACAGATGGTTACTACCATACTGGTGCTGGGACTAGAAACTGGATCCTTCAGGAGAGCAGCTAGTGTTCTTACTGCTGAGCCCAATATCCAGCCCTCTAGAGCTAATTTTACGTTAGTAACCTACTGTCCTGTAGCCAAATCCACCTGTTCTGTATTGGATTCACATTGGAGTATTTTTATATTGTTCCATGTCTCAAAATCTTTCTCTGTCTCACAACTATAAGCTCTGGGAGTGGAGACATGGCTCAGCAGTTAAGAGCAGGTACTACTCTTGCAGAGGCTGGGGGTTTGGTTCCCAGAAGCTCACCACCACTCTAGCTCCAGGAGAGTTGATGTCTTCTTCTGGCCTCAAAGGGCATCTGCATATACAGATATACACATGAGAGAGGAAGCTTCAAAATTAAAAATAACAAACTCTAAGCTGTGAGGGGGGCTAAGGCCATACAAGAAAGCTCAAACACACTTTCTTGTATTACAGTGCCCAGATGATCAATAAATTGGCTAAGATTCACCAGATTAATCTGAAGTTAGGGGGAAAAACTGTTTGGCAATAATGCCATATGACAAAAAAAAAGCTTAAGAAAAATCTAAGTGACAAACTTCAGTCATGTTTTAACCATGAAATAAATGTTACATATAACTTTTCCTAAGCAATACTTCTAATTCTAAGGGTAAGAGGAAAAGTTATTGTTTTACTGCACAGCCTTGTGGAGAATCGGCTTCCAGAACACAAGGAGGAGGGTAAAAAAAAAAAACAAAAAACTCACAATGTTCTCTTCTGTGAAGGAGTCCCAAAGAGACAATGATAGAAAAAAATGTTCTCTTTTCTGCACCTCAGATACTTTATCTCCTTAGTCCTTTACAGTCACTGCCTCTCAAGTTCGAACTGCCCTAACCTCTAATTCATCATTTTATCCCCACAGTCTGTTATTAAGTGCTAAAAAAAATCAAATTCATGAACAATATAGCAGAGGTTTTAACACTTCTTAATACAGACTAACTTTCAAGGGTTAAAAACAGTAACTGCCTTAATTTGGGATGGAGACTTGTCAGAGGAAGTCTCAAGGAATCCAAGGGAAGGTTTGAAACTCAAACAACATATTTTAAATTCTTATGTTTGATTCTTTTATCCTAACCCTTCATTCTAGTTTGTTTTCAGTATGAGGGCATGTACCAAGGGCCCTGTACATACTTGCTACACCAACCCAACACACTAACATTTTCCCCTAGTTTGATAAAAATCAACAATACCTTGCACTTAAATGGCTCATTACACAAATTACCAAATGGATGACATATGACTTTATTAAAATTTCTTCATTATTCTTTTAAGACACATTTCTTTCTTGTACTTAATGAATATTACAAACATGAAACAGAATGCTTCTTGAGTCAATTAACCACAGTGTCTTCTTGACTTGCAAAGAAAAAACTATGTATCCAAATAAACAATTGGAAGTTTAGTATTCATGAAACATACTTTTGTTCAATTAAAAAAAGTTAAAGCCTAAGGATTCTGGTAGAAAAAGAGTGATTACCTAGTATGCTCAAGGGCCTGGGTTCAATTCCCAGCTCTATCTGTGTGTGTGTGTGTGTGTGTGTGTGTGTGTGTGTGTGTGTGGTGGAGTTACATAACTATTATCCAAAGCTGAACCATAGCTTCCAATACGCCCAAAAAGCAAATATAAATATAGCATTTTATTTCATAGAAAACCTTAACTTTCAAGGTGAAAATTATTGTCTCCAAAAAAAGTGTACTGCACCTGCCGTTTTAAAAAAGAGGGGAGATGGGTCTCCAAAATAGTCAAGGTAAATAACACGTAAGAGAACTTAAATATTAAGATATTGGACTAACTTTCAAAGGGGCTGGAGATGTAGCTCTGTGGTAGAGCACTGTGCAAGGTTATGGTTTCAATGTCCAGCACCACAGGAAGAAAAAAAAATTTTATTGCCAAAATGGTTAAGTACACAAGGATACATTATTAAAAAGCAATAAACACAACTGTGTGAGTTTCCTATCCACTTGTAACCAAGCCCACTCCCAATGTTCTTAATAATGAATATGCAAAGAATGGGAAAGGCATGCTGACCTGGGTTAAAGAATGTGGCCTAAAGACGACAACCAGATCAATGGTTATCTAATGACCTAGACTATTGGATTCTGCTTTAAATCAATCAGATCAATTTCTTGACGTTAAAAAGCACATATTTCCTTAGCCTTTCAATCCATAATTTATATAAACTTCTCTAATGCTTTCGCAGGTTTTTGTGACCTACACTTACACTTATAAGAAGACATATGGGTCAAATACAAAGGACAAAAGAGCACAAAAAGAGAAATTGAAAATTAAATTTCTCTGGAAGCTGGTTACCTACAGTATTAATCTCAGTATGTAAAAATACCGAAAAGGAGTTCCATGCAATATAATCCGGAATTGACAGTAACATTTCCAAAAAACATCTTACTGACGTCTATATTGAAACCAAAATATTTTTCGGGACTAGTTAACATCTGGATGCAATGGTTGGTGGAGGAACCGTTTGAAATGGAGACTGAGAGAACTCGGACATCCATGACATGAGTGGTCTCCTCCTGGCAGGTAAACATCTCCAAACATCCTGTTCAAATTGGATATTGGGTTTGGAATGGGCAAGTTCCACCTCAAACACCAGCAGAAGGTAACATGCACAAAGACTAGGGAACATAGAGGCACTGCACTGTCTCACACTTGAACATGCTGAAAAACGCCCTTGCTTTCCGCCCCTCCCAAAAGAAAAACGTAAGCTGCCAAAATTGAAGTTTAGAAATGCTTGCAAAAATCCACTCATCTCACTACTTTGGCTTAGATCTAGTACATTTCACTTGTCATTTACTAAGCGCTGGCCCAAACTGGGTTCCCATCAGATGGTAAAAGTATGAACGTCTCCCCTGCAACTTTCTCGGAATTTTTATTAGCCGTGCTAATAGTTTGCCCTTACTTTCTAGCACCTTTCAGCCTCAGCCACACACAGGGCTCGCCCCTCACTTGCGTTCCCTATAACGCTGGAGAGAGGGGAGGGTGTGAGCCTAGTGTATTTATGTGCGGATAAGTGCACGCGCGCTCCCGAGCTGCTCCCCACCCCCACCCCGATACTTTTCTTTGCTGGGAACCGAGGGAAATTTTAGAGGTTATTCCAGCGCAGAAAACTCGGGATCAAAAGCCCCGGCCCAGGGGCAGTGGAACGACAGGAGAGAGTCTAGTGTTTGGGTTGCGCAGTGCAACTTCCCGCTCCCTGCCCCAAGCTTTCAGCAGATGGGAATGTGCTGGAGAACCTGGGGAGGAGCCGAGGAGATAAGGAGAAAAAGTGAAAGGGCCGATCCCCCCACCCCGCCGGAAAGGCGGTTAAGTTTGCAGGCGAGATCGTGTTTCTGCGGCTCGGCGCCCACCGCGCTCCCCCTTCCAGGTGGAACTCGTTAAACCGCAGCCGCCCAGCCCAGCAGACCCCGCCACCTTCCTTCCCCGCGCCCCCTCCAAGCCCCGGACAAGTGAAGGTGGCGCGGGGAGCGGACGCCTGGCGGGGCCGGCGCGAGCCCGGCGAGCAGCAGCAGCAGCAGCAGCAGGCCTCCGCCGACCCCGGCCCGGTCACCTGTGGAGAAAGGCGGCCCGTCTCCGGCCTCTCTGCCCTTCAGCCGCCCGTCTCCCCGCGGCCCGGCCTGCGAGCACCGAGCCGCCCGGCCCCAGCCCCTTGAACTGGTTACAACCGGCGGCGGCGGCGGCGAGCGAGCGAGGGTCCCCGGCGGGAGGGGAGCGGCAGGCCCCGCGCAGCCGGCTCTCGAGGTCCTACCTAACAACGCCGGTCTCCTCCGTCGCCTCCTCAACGGCAGCGGCCCCGGCGGTGGCGGCGGCAGCGACATTCCTGGGGAGCGCTCCCGCCGCCGCCGCCTCCTCCACTCTCGGCTCGCCTCTCGCTGCCCGCGCGCTCCCTCCCCCGCCCTCCTCCCTCGCCGCCACACACGCCCCGAGAGCCCGAGCCCCGCGGCTCGCGCTGCCTGGTAACCCGCCCGCCCGCCCGCGCGCCCGCCGGCGGCAGCGGCGGCCCCGACCCTCCCCCTGCCCCCCGCGCCCGCCGCCGCGCTGGGCTCAGTAATGGCGGCCACTCGGGCTCCTCGCGCTGACGGATCTCTCCCTCTCTCTCCCTCTCACTCTCTCTCTCTCTCCCCCGAACTTTACCTCAGCATCTCTCCCCGGGCGCGCACCGCCGGATCGCACGCGCACGCGCGCGCGGGCGCGGAGCCACACACCCGGCCGGGGAGGTGGGGGGGGGGCGGCGGCGGCGGCGCGGGCAGCACGGGGGCGCGCGATCGTGCCCGCGCCCGCCTCCTCCCCCCCTCCACCCCGCCCCAGAATCCCCCGCCCGGCCCGCGGCGCTCACCTCCATACGCCTCCCGAGCCGCGCTCCCGGTCCGGCCCCGCCCCTGCCCTCGTCTCCCGGGAGCCGGGGAGGCGCGAGCTCCCGCGCCGGAGGGAGGGAGGGACGGAGGGAGGGAGTGGGGGGGCGCGCGAGCGCGCGGGGCCGCGTCCCCGCTCGGGCCCCCGCTCTCCATTGGCTTCCGCCCCTCCCCCTCCCCGTCTCCGCCTCCGCCGTCCATTGGTTCCCGCTCCTGCTCCCTTCCTTCTCACCTTTTCCCTGTTACCCATTGGCGTGAGTGGCTTCTCCTCCGCGCCCCCTCTCTCCGTGCTTCTGCTCCTCCTCCGTCCCATCCTCCACGCTTCGGGCGCCGCACGCCGGGCATGGTCGCCGAGCCCTCCCGGCCCTCTGCGCCGGCCTTCGTGCCGGTGTTTGGCGGTAACTCGGAGTCCTGCCGGGGAACGGGGTGCTGCGTTAGCCGTTGCGAGGCTCGGCACGGGCGCCGAACGCGCCACCATTCAGTCCCCCAAGGGCTAGAGAATGCAAAGGAGGAAACTTGCCTCTGTGTGTGTGTCTGTGTCTGTGTCTGTGTGTCTGTGTGCCAGAGAATGCAAAGGAGGAAACTTGTGTCTGTGTGTCTGTGTCTGTGTGCCACGATTCAGTCCCCCCAAGGGGTTAGAGTCTTTGTGTGTGTGTGTGTGTGTGTGAGAGAGAGAGAGAGAGAGAGAGAGAGAGAGAGAGAGAGAGAGAGAGAGAGAGAGAGAGAGAGAGAGAGAGAGAGAGACAGACAGACAGACAGACAGAGAGCAGAGCAGACAGACACGACCTGGGCCACTCTCAGCCAGAAGCCACAGTTACACGAGGGCCAGAGGGGTCCTTTCTCCGTGGGCACGACACAGAGACACCGGCCCTTGATCCTGGCCATTCTTAGGGAAGTTGAGCGAGACCCCAAGATTTAGGTGGTTTAGGGTGGTCCCAAGGGCCCCAGCTCGCTTCAGAAACTATCTGCCTCCTGGCTTTCGTGAGACTGCCTTGAAATGTATTCAGTCTTTTTTTTTTTTTTTTTTTTTTTTGTCTTCTAGAAATATCACAAGTTTGGGAGAACGTTGAGCTTTCCATGTATTTTTCTTCTGTGCATAGAAAGAGAGAATGAACGATAGAATTATAGCCTTTAAGCTCTATAGCAACTATCTGTGACTTTCCCAAGGTCACCCCAATTTTATACAGAGATGTTACAAGAGCTGCCAGAAGATAAAAGAATGAGGAAAACCACAAATCTGCTCCGATTCATTGGTTCCTGAGAAGTAATTTGGGGGAGAATTTCTCTTTGGGGAAAGATTTCGTTTCCTGCACTGAAAATGGTTTATCATCAGTAAACATACAAAGAATACTTTAAAATTCAAGTTATTCTTACGCTACATAACGTACTGAAGCTAGCTAGCCAAGGTTGCTTTTTAGTGTTATAATGGCATAGCTGCTACCATCCAGAAATAAATTTACGCTGTGTCAGGAAAGAAAGCAAGAACTGTTGGTTCAAGTTTGTTAGAAAATACTTGTCAGTATATCTGTCACAATATTCCAGCAGATCTGTTCGTTTGTTCCTTCCCAGTGTCCCTCCACTGTCCATATTCTTCCAAAGTAAACTTAAAAGTTTAAAAGCAGTAAAGACATTTCTAACTTCTCTGTGTGTAATTTGCTCCTTACTTTTAAAAAGACACGGCTAAAATTTGATTTCATCCCTCGCTGCATCTGAAGCTAAGAGTGGGTAGTGGTCTGTGGATGCTTATCATCTATGGCCAGGGAAGAGAGCTGAAGAGCATTTGCCCTGGAAGTCACAGGAAAGTTAGAAGGGGAAAGAAAAGAATGAAATTCCCAAGATGTGGCACTAGTCCCTTTTATAGGCTTGAACTTAATATGGTTTGTGTATTTTTTTATCTTTGTACTAAAAGCCCTTAAACAATGCATGGAGCCAATTAAAAAAACATAACCTGAATAAAATAGTAAGTACTATAGGGTAACCATACTAAGGTAATTTGGAATTACTTTCTAAACAACCCAAAAATCTTCAACCATGAGCATTTATCAACAAGAAGGTGTAATTTTCAGCAGTAGGACATGAAACTAGGTGCAAAAAGAATGTGAAATCTCATTTCTCTTAATAAAGGAACCCCTCCCCAATTTTGTCATTGTTTTCAAGCAATAATTTTTATACCAGACATTATTTTTAGTACTGCAACATCCACCTTGACTTAAAAGATCTGGACATCTAAAACCTTGCTTATCAATAGTAAACTACTTACTAATTACACAAGTTACTACTGGTGTTGCCTCTATGTTACTTCTCTCTAGAAAAATGAAGCAAGGTCTTCTGTTACCATAGAAATCTGGAAATGGGGATTAGAGGCCAAAGTTCTGTGATTGATACTGCCTATATATTTACAGGTAAGAAGCATTAAAGGGTGTGTATGGGGTGCCATCCTGTAAGCCTGAGCTTTGAAACACTCGCCCTCCCCACCCAAAAGAGACTATTTAAAGAAAAATGAGGAAATTTTTCTTTAAACTCATTCGTGGTATGCATGATACTGTGGGTGAGCTGGAATAAATATTACCCAGCTTTCTCAAGTCTGTTACTCTTGTTGTCTGGAATAAAAAAAAAAATTAAAGCATTTCTGTACTGGACAATTAAAATCATCCAGAGCTTGGTTCTTTTCCTTGAGGGACAGAGTAACATATATCCCAGTTGGGTATTACAGTGTTTTAACTTAAATATTCGCCTGTATAAATTCCTAGTTCTTCAACATATCCTAACAGTATGAAATGAAATATGATGTCCTCACAGGAACTTGCCCTATAGAAGCAGTTACACCCTCTGCTGGAAATCTTTGATCATAGCAGCATTGTCTTTGGTAGCCTCAACCAAGAACACACAAGAAGTTAAACTTAGGACTTTTCCACTGGGGACCCAAGTAACCAGTATTTTTGCCTAGCTGACACAAGAAGGGATTCCAGAAAAGAGCCTATCTTGCAATATCGTCTTGATTACTGACAAAATACGCAAAGAAGATGGAGAATAATGATATAAATGACTATACTAAGAAGCACACACAAGACTATTGTCTAATTTCCTACTGCGTTTCTCAACATGCTCCTAACCTATTCCCATCTCCTCGCTCTGTCTCAGACAGTTAAGGCTGGTGGCATGGGAAGGCACAGCAAGGTAGGGCTTTGCTCCTACAGGTGGGCAAATGATGGCATATGAACAGCCACTGCAGCCAACTGCTGAGTTAAGATGTGTAGGGCTTTCCTTGTGTTTGTTTTATAGCTACCAATGATAGTGTCAACCTGGAGAGTGCTAACTATGTCTTGGCTGTTATGGTAGAAAATATTTTGACAATAGTTGAGGTGATCGAGTATAGGGATGGAACAGAGAGACAGTAATGCATTGATCTTCCTGGCTTTTTGTTCCACTGAGCATTGTTCTGTTGACTCTCCAGAACCATATTTTCAGACTGAAATTCCAAAGATGCGATCGGATTCTAGCTTTCCTGACACTGGTCCTAGGACATAACTGAAATTGTCCAAATAGCACTGTACTATAAAGGGATTGCTATTTTATAATGAGTATTTGTAATGCAGACTTCTCTTGAAGTAATAATAAATCACTCAGGTCCCACCAGCCCAAATACTTTAATTAGACAAAATAAAAAGGTCTTCAAGTTATTTCCTCTCACAAAAGGGGGTATTGTTAGGCCATCTGGACCCTCCATTGCGTTTTTATAAAAGATCTCAGCTTGAATTTAATCAACCCCAATAAGGTTAACCCTATAAAGCTGAAAAACAATTGTAAAGGTGACTAACTGAAGGATTTGGATTCTTCCTTTTAGATTGTTTCTTCTGATAATCCCAAATCCTTTAAGTGAGAAGCAGAAACCTGTATTGCTTAACTATCTGATCACATTATTTTAATTCTTGGGAAGTCTCTCATTCTTAGTGTAGACCAAATTAGATTGTGAGCTCTTCTGGATGAGAATCATGGATCCATGTTTGGCCCCATGCAATGATAAAAACACATGGTTATTGGTTCAAAGCTTAGTAAATACTTGCTGATAGGAAACACTCTAGGTTTTATGGATTTCTGGGATTTATTACTAACAGAAGGATTTAGATTATGTCTTGAAGTACCAGCTGAGATAATCACTTTAAGAGAAAAAAGCCTGTAAAAGTTGATTTAGTTGTCCTTCCCAGTGTACAGCCGACACTTCTCCATATAGCAGCTCTCTGGTAGATGAACATAAGTTACTGGCAACAAATAACTATGGATCTGAAACATCAGGGAACATCTTAAAGAATTGCTGCGACATAGGAGCTTTCTGTAATCAATAATAAGGTAGCTAATCACTCTGCAATTAAGGGCTTTGTCAGTTTCCCTTATTATACACTACAGTAGATGGTAAATATTTGCTTTGTATGTCCATGCTTATGCATTTTCTTGAGGGAAAAAACAAAAATATTATGGTTCTTCTAGCTCAATTATTATATATTTCTAAATATTTTTTGAGACAGAATT